ATATATACCTATATGTATACATCATATATTTGTTTAATATAGTATAGGTACAATATGTTCTGTAGGTATATATATATATATATATTATATTCGTTTGTTTGAGTGCTGTACAAAATAGTTTTGTGTATAAGACAGAAAAACAAGTAAACCTACTTCTTCGAAAGTGTAATCAAAAAAAGGGATTCTACAGTCAGAGAGTCCCACGAGTGACTTTTCTGTGTTATTACTTTTTTTTCATCACTGCACGCACTATATATATATATATAGATAGATTGATCTATAGTTATATACTTGTATAGGTAGGTACATATAATAATACAGATATAACTCTATCTGCAGGATTTGCAGTATTTAGGGTAGTAATTTTAAAATAATAAACTACAACGACAGAGCCCACTGCAGATATATAACATTACGTATAAAAGTAGAAATAGGTATACGCGTTTTAAAAAATGTATGTTTTGCGTTTTGTATGGGAGCGAATGTGAGACTAAATTATGCGAGGGAAGAAAAAAACGGGTTCTCTTAAAACTTGTAGGTACATATATCTATAAATACGAATACTGGAATATAGGTACATGATAGGTATATGAACGTAACAACATTTTTTTCGGATGGCTCGCGCGTGCTTGACTATAATATATAATATGTACGTATTTATATAATATAATAGGTATAAACCTATATATATATATATATTATGTATATAGCTATAGGTACATATACCTATATACTTTTTACATCGTACATTTTGCAAACTGCCCATATGCTACCGTGTGTGTGTGCATGTATAATACATCTCTATGTACACATAGAACGCAGTAAAACTTTACAAAATAATAAACTTTTTCTAAAGAATATCTACAACTTTTACATCACTATGAGACTTTAAGCGTATACCTACCTACCTACCTATATCAGCTATTATACCAAATTACCAAGTATACATCTTTAAAGAATACTTAAACATGGTTATAAAAAATATTACGAGTTTGTGAATTTTTTAAATTAATTGCGTGATAGATAAAAAGTATAATTTTTTGAAACTGAATACAATGATTCCACTCATCGTGCTGCACTGTATGTCCGCGGAGTCAATAAATCAATTTATTGATACCTATATATATTATATATACATATAGGTTTATGTAAGCAAACCTATATTCACCTGTTAAAGTTTTATTATATAAATACGTAATACAGTGAAACCTCTAAATACCGGACACTCTCGGTCGCTTAAACGTCGTCCGCTATTTGGAGGTGTCCGCTATTAAGAGGGGAAATATAGTGAGTATATACACATTTCACCRTTCACAAAATTCCATCCGTTATTTGGAGGTGTCCGATATTACAGATTTTTGAAAAATATAGAACAGCGTAAGTATATAGGTATTCCGTATGTATATCATATACATGTAGATATAACACATGATAAATAATTGCTATTATTGAGTTATATTGGATTAAACTTATCGAAAAAGTGTTAAAGGTAAAAATCGTAGAGGGGAAGACCGCAACTGCAGGGATGTATACACGACTACACGATAAATGGTATTTTGACAATGGTAAAAAGATAAAAAGGAATAATGCAAGTTACAGAGAAAGATAGAGCATTTTTGCAAACTAATATTAGAGTTGGAAGTTGAGGGATGCAGAAATGAGTAAAATAACATCATATATACATTTATTTAAGTATGATTTTTATAGACTATATTATATCCAAGCGTATTCGTGTAGGTAGGTACTATAGGTACCTATATATCAACCTACCTATATTATAGTATGTTATACTTAAAATAAGTTTGACATAATATCGTGTTAACCACACAAACACTATATTTAAACGAAGTAACTAAAAACGTTTATAGTGCGTCTACATGTTGTGTGTATACAYAGGAACTAAAGTTTTGAGAGATTATAAGTTTTAATAGGTTTTATATATACGTTTTATGCAGATAATCCTCGTTTATAACAATTATGTGTTCGTTATAATTTTATATAGTTTATGAGCGTTTCACTAGGGAATATTATTTTAAGAAGGGTATAATATTATCTATATTATAGTGTAGATAAAATTATCTTATAAAACGACAAAAAGTTCGTCCAAAAACTGTGTTATACCTATACCACTGTATATATATAGTTTAAACCCATGTAAATACATTAGTCTGTAAGATATCAGAATGTTAGTAAAATAAATTGATTGTGTGATGATGTGTATAACAGTTACCTATATCTATATAATAACCAAAAGCGATTCAGTGTATTTAATATTTGAATGAATAATGTGTCAATAATAATAATATATAATTTAGGAATATATATCCAATTTGAAGAACATCGTTAATTTTAATATAATATTACGTTTCATAATAACGAGGATAACATGCGATTAATTAGAAGTTAGATATTTTATTATAATATAAACTCTTAACCCATATATATTGTATAGATATATAGACTATATCTGCATATTATACAGCTGCTGAAGCGATAGGTATATATACTATATAGGTATATATATATATATACCTATAACGAAAATCCGTGTCCAAGTACGTTTAGCCAACAAAATAATTGATTACGTTATTGCGGGAATATATAAATATAGGTACCCGCCTATTAAAAAACTTTGCCAGTTCGGAACGTTC